AGAAGAAGAAGAAGAAGAAGAAGAAGAAGAAGAAGAAGAAGAAGAAGTTTGGAACCACCAATGTCCTCAACCTTTACAACAATAATAAAACATCACATTTATACACATTTATAACTCTGGACAGCACCTTAGATCCTACAGACCTCTGTCCATCTTCCATTGAAAGCAAGAAGCTCACAACCCTGTATTTTAATTTTTTTGACAGAGAGAGAGAGAGACAGAGAGAGACAGAGAGAGACAGAGAGAGACAGAGAGGAAGAGAGAAGGAAAGGGAGGGAGGGAGGGAGTGGGAGAGAAGAAGAGAGGGTGTGTGAGAGGGAGAGGGTAGGAGAAGAAGAGAGGGAGAAAATGAGGCAGAGAGGGAGAGAAGAAGAGAGGAAATGGGAAAGGAGAGAAAGAAAGAAAGAGAAAGGCAGAGAGAGAGAGAGATTGAGAGAGAGAGAGAGAGAGAGAGAGAGAGAGAATGAGAATGTGTGTCTTGGCTCTGGAACATCCATGGAGCTTTCTAAAGCCATCCATGGGGGTTAATTAATTCTAAAAGGAACAGGGATCTTAAGCCATCATTTCTTTCTTTCTTTTTCATGCTTGCTGTCACGTTAAACTGCCTTAACACGATTCCACCCCCTCCCTTCCTTACCCATCTTTTCCTTTCGTTTTCTTTTTAAATACACACAAAAAGAAGATCTTGGCTGATCAGAGTGAAATTCAATATGCTGCCATGTGTTGTGGGGCTCCCTCCCCAGTGACAGGTGCTGATGGATTGCTAAGTGCCTAGTGGGTGAGGGGGGGAGTACATAAATTAAAGGATGATGTGGGATGATGTACAACCAGGGTGGTCAGTCCACCAGCTGCCTGCAGCCCCCCCCAATTAATATCTTCTTCTTCTCCTCCTCCTCCTCCTTCTCCTCCTCCTTCTCCTTCTCCTCCTCCTCCTTTCCTCCTTTCTTCTTCTTTCTCCTCCTCCTCCTGCTCCTCCTCCTCTTCCCACCCCTACGGTAATAGCACACATGAGCATTCTTCACACGACCACTAGGCGGTAGTGGAGAGTTACCATTCCATGCTGTTTTGCTGCTCTCTCTATTGGTCACACAACATATTGCAGCCACACTGCTTATAGCTGTACTTTTCATAAAGTTACGGGTCTGTGTAAGCAGCCCTGCCCATTTCTCCGTTGTCCCTTTCCTTGCTCCATTGGGCAATAAGTTAAAAGCCGACGCACATAAAGTCTGCATGATTCTCTTAACAACTACAATGGTTTGCCTAATACCCAGGCAAAAAAAAAAAAAAACGGTCGTAAAATCAGGCTCAAGTCACTGCCTTGCTTAGAGGTCCCAAATTGTGGTCCCAAATCCTGGTCATAAGGAAGATTATCTGTATAGATAGATACATCCATGCACACTCTCACATCTCTTGCTGGAGGTTGTTTTCCCAGCAGAATAATGTTCTTCCTGTGAGTTGCAACTCTGCTCCTCTAAGCCCATCCTCCTTCCACCCTTTCCCAACATCGTTAGAGATCATGATTGCTGTGGAAATTATAGAGCAGTGATAGAATTACTACTGAGCAGGAACGAGTCCACCGGCTTCGCTTTGTTAGACAGCTAATGAGTGGCAGACAGCGAGGCCACGGCGAAGTGGAGCAGGGAGAAAAAAAACGAATGTCTTTGTCGAAAGGAAAATTTGCCAGTTTTCGCTGGCTGTTCCCAGAGGAAGTTTTAGGGGGGAATTAATTGAATTAGGGGAGCAGATGAGGCAAGCTTCGTTGGTCAAGGTTTGCTCCTTTAGTTTTTTTTTAATCAGATGGGGCAGAGGAGGCGATAATCATTCCAGTCGATTCTGGGTCCCATCTGGGTGGTCAGCTTGGCGGGATTGACAATGAGGCCTGCCTTTTGCAGGAAGTCCTTTTGGGGGTTGTTTGGATTTAATTGACACCTGCCAGGCGAAAGCCTCATTGTTGATGCCAAGGAAGGTTGGCTGAGGTCAAGCTTGGCTCCCCAGCTGAATGAAATATGTAGATGGGCAGGTACAGGACAACTGATGCCCTGCATTCTGTATCAGTCAGCCAGCTCCACTGCAAAATCTCAGGGATCTTCCTTCCAGCAACGGATGGAAACTAATCGAGAGAAGCAACCTAGAAATAAGGAGGAATTTCTTGACCATGAGAATAATTAACCAGTGGAATGACTTGCCTTCATAAGTTGTGGAGGTTCACTGGAGGTTCTTCAAGAAGAGATTGGAGAAACATTTGTCCAGAAGGATATAGGATCTTCTGCCATGAGCAGAGGGGTTGGGCTAGAAGATCTTCAACGTCCCTTCCAATCCTATTGCTCTATCTTCTATACAATGGAACCTTGGTAAAATATGATGCCAGAAGACTCAAAGACTTTACCAGCACACTTTCTAGACAACTTGTGATCCACTGAGTCATCGGTTCAGAGATATTTCTGAATATCCCAAAGAGAAGGAGATCAGATTGAGGTGCATCTCAACCTTGAAGATGAGTTGACTTCAACGGTTGGACTAGAAGACCTCCAAAGTCCTGTTGTGCTATTCTGCTGATGTTCTGCTATTAAGGACCAGGGTGGCTCACGTAGTTAGGATGCTGGGTTGACAATTTGCAAGTCTGTGTTTGAGGTCCGAGTGCTGCTGGGTGAGCTCCTACCATTCACCCCGGTTCCTGCCAAACTAGCTGTTTAAAAACAGGAGTAGATAAATAAATAGCTACCACTTGGGTGGACTCATTGATGGGGATGTGAAAGGAATCCCCCAACTGGGCATCCCTTGGGCAACGCTGATGTCACTGGCACGAAAGCGCTTTGGTGGTTTTGACATGGAACACTATTGACACTATTCTGTTATTCTGTTTGCTCCTTTTCTTCCAAGTCCGGAGACAGATGCAGGATTTCAGAAGATGAATCCAAGAATAGACATAGGAGTCCTGCCTTCTTCTTCTCCATTAAGACTCAAATAAGCTGTCACAGCCTGGAGTCACGGCATCAGAATTGGCGGCAGCCACTTTGCTGCCAGACACACAGAGTGGCCAATTTAGCCAGTTAGCCCTAGGATTGTAGGAAATGAAGACATCATATTGGTGAGCACGGAGAGGTTGCCTTAAGCCTTGATGGAATTCTCCTTAATTAACCACCCATCTCTGTTTGCTCAAGACCATCTGCCATTTGTTAGGCTCCTTAAATGCCTCTCGATGGCAGCTTCAGAACAGATTTGCCCAGCTATGTTCAGGGAGGACAGGACATAACTTGAGGACCATTGAGTCATTGTTGTGTGTCTGCCTTGGAAGTTAGTTAGTTGGTTGAAGAGCTGTGGTGGCGCAGTGGTTAGAAAGCAATATTGCAGGTTAATTCTGCTCACTGTCAGGAGTTCGATCCTGACCAGCTCGAAGATGACTCAGCCTTCTATCCTTCTGAGGTTGGTAAAAGAAGGAAGGAAGGAAATGAAGGAAGGAAGAATGAAGGAAGGAAGAAGGGAGGGAGGGAGGGAGGGAGGGGAGGGAAGGGAAGGATGGAAGGAAAAGGAAGGGAGGAAGGAAGGAAAGAAGGAGGAAAGGAAGGAAGGAAAGAAGGAAGAAGGAAGGGAGGGAGAGAGGAAGGAAGGGAAGGAAGGAA